TCTTGATTTTAATTTTGAGGAGCTTTTGAACTTTTTTTTTTGTCAAAAAAAAAAAGAGATTTAGATAACACACAAAATAGTTGAGAAAAAACTGTAAAACTCAAAGCGTAAAACGTTCGCTTTTGAATCTCCGTCGATTAGATGCATATATGAATGCAACCGAGCGATGTTTGTTTTTGAAATTGTTTGGCCCGCACACGCGCTGGTGTACAAAATTAACGCTATCGTTATCAGCGACGACATTCGCTTGATCAACGGTTACAGATTATCCCGATGAAATCACGCGTGTCGCAATTTACAACGAAACTCGGCACGTTTTGCTCGATTGCCCGGCGTATCTCCGTTTTTCACACCTCTAATCTGCTCGTAACTCATCGTGCATAAGTATTTTTCGCATATCTTTCAAAACAGAAGCTTCAGCTGCTTTGAGTATAATGAAGTTCGTTTATACTTACATTGTACGATACACAATGAACGCCAGACAATCGAGAGGATAATGATTATTATTTTCACGTTGATCCTTGCCAAATATCAGCGTTAATTATCAGCTTGCTTAGATCGATCATTTGCTCAATGCTTTTATGTTAAAGAGAATTATTGTAATTCTATAATTTAGGAATTCATGGATTATTTTAGAAATAGACGTAAATATTTTTTTATTCCTAAAACACATTAACAGGGAAAGTAGAATAAGGATATGAGAAGAGAGATTTTCTTAATTATGTTTATTTCTATCGGTGTAGATTAACTTTAATCTCTGTTTAATTGTTACTATTTTTTTTTTATCATTTCAATATCCACATCTATCAATGTAGAGTAACTTTAATCTCAGTTTAATTTATTCTTTATCTCTTTTAATCTTTAGAATTAAAAAAGCGTAAAAAATTAATTAATTAAGATTAAAGCTATAATCTAATTGGTAGAGATAATAAACACTGAAATTATATCTGTTTCTGCTAATATAATTTAATTTTAATCTCAATTGACTTTTCATCTTATTCTAGATATTAGAAAAAGATGAAAAGTACGCTGAATCAATATTAAAGTTCATTTATAGGTTAGAAATTGGCATTTAAAAAATCACGAGAAAGTTAGACTAGTTAAAAATTAATTTACATCAGTAGAAATTTATTCTATAGTTAGAAATTTCTGAAAAGCAGACTTTAATCTCTGTGTAAAAATGTGAATCATTGCATATTTGCTTAGAGTTATGATTTTATGTACGTACGAATTAAGAAAATAATTTTGCAAAAAATAGCTGCCTCCTAACCGGAATTTATCATGGTTAATTTGCTCGATGCATTTATGCAGGAAGCGTATTGCCTAGGTCAATTCAATTCGTTCGTTGGAAGGTCGTCGCAATTCACACATAATTACGTCAGCACTGATAATAACAAATTGCGTTTGTATTTCGTTGTTCGTGTATTTCGAAATATTATCAACTTTATTTTTTGTTGGACACTATACGGATAAAAGAATATATGTGAAAGAATATATATATTTGAACCGGAAAAATAAAATTTATGGGAAAATAAAAATTTTAATCAACTTTCGCGTGTGTTTGGAAAAATATAAATGTTTGGAAATACTTTTTTTACTTATTTCACAATATTCTATATTCATGGAAAGAACGGTTTTGCTGGAATTTTTTCTTTTTAATTTAGTTAGATAGATAATCTGAAAATAATTTTGTTAAACTATCAAAATGATCACGTACGCTCAAGCAAAATGGACAATGCTGCAAAAAGTTTTAACATTTTAGCAATCAACCTGTGAGTCCTACATAATTATTTGTATAGTCTAACAAAATTATTTTCATCGGATCTGTACCGATCTAAATTTTTGAATACTTTACTTTTACTTAGTAAAACCGTTCTTTCCGTTTAATATATCATATCTCACGACAATGAGCAAAACGACGCAAAGTATTCATTTGAACTAGTTTTCACATTTTCTTATCACTATTCTTTAATATTTACTAATAGTCTACATAACCTTCAACGTTTTGTATGTAGAGTGCATGATCATTTTTTCCTGCTTTCTGTGTCAATAAAACCGAATTCTGCAAACGAAACGCAACATGTATGCATTATCGGAACTATATTATCGCGTGCCGCGATAACGTTGAAGAGAGGCTTTGATAGTATAAAAACTTTTTTATTCACGGAGTTAAGCGGAATCACGCTCGAACGTCTACACCGCGAGCGATGACACAATAATATTGCATTAGATGTTTATGTCAACAGTAAATCGCGTAAAATTTGATTTTGGGATAACGCTACAAAATAAGGCAGTACGGACGTTATAAATTTGTGCGGTGTTCAAATCTTTTCATTAGAAATTTTTAAATAAATTTGTTTTGTGTGTTGGACTCTAAGTGTTTATTTTGGATTTTCTTATTTAATTTTTTCGCCAGAACTATTTGTAATTTTAGGAAGAATCTCTAAAACTCTTCGGGATGTACTCAGAATTATAATAAAAAGTTTATTTAAGTTGAGATGCTAACTTTACAAAGAAAATAAATTATTAGATGAACTATAAGAAAAACTAAACCGATATGTAGATTTTTAAGTAGAGGAACACCAAACAGTTAGTGTCTAATAATAATATAAACTTTGATAAATCTCTGTCTCATGTTACTTTGAAAGTAAATATTTCATATTATTCGGGGGAAGCACCGAGAATGCACTTGCAATATTTGCAAGGTCTACTCAAAATGGAAAGAATGTATTGTTAATCATAATTGCATGATTCACCCGTACACATGTTATCATTTTTGCACTAAAATATTGTTTTTTTAACGTTACATTATATATATATATATATATATAT